CAGCCCTGCCTCCGTGTGCCTCCGCTGCGGCCCGAGGCGCAGGGCTGCTGCACGGCCTGCCCCGGCCGGAGCAGCCGAGCACAGGGGGCTGAGCTGGGCTCGGATTAACCACCCCCCCACCAAAGCGCTAATAGCAGTGCAGTAAGGCGAAAGTTTTAACTGTCCAGAAAGAAAGAAGAGCTGTTGACACAGACACAACCGCCTGGGCACGCCGGTCTCTCAGTTGCTCTGTACCAGGTGCAGTTTGGTTTTGATGTTGTCACATTCCCAGCCCTTCGGATTTTTCTTGGGATCAGTTGGGGCTGCCTGCTGCCCCAACACCAGTGAGAAGGCTTTCACACTGCAGTTACTGCTTCTCAGTGCCACCACGCAACCAGCAGAGCAAGAAGCCAGCCTGGTGGATTTGCCCCAGTGGGTCACGTTCACCAGGTCAGCAGCGCTGAAGTGAACAGGTCTGAACACAGACGGAGGAGAACCACGGGGGAACCAGGGGGTAGTGCTTTAACGGAGTCCGCTGTGCACAGCCACACGATACCATCACTGCACTTGCAAGAGGGTAACACGGGGAAGTGCATATCCCGTAGTGTTAAGCAACTGTGGAACACCTGGAGCCCAACAACTCAACAACAGCGGTGGCTGAGGCTCCTTCCGGATTTGGTCTGGGGCCTTAAAGGGGGGGATTTCGACACCCCCTGGTCCCTAGCCCAGGCAGGCAGCTTGCTTGTTCCAGGTCCAGGCTGCTGCCCCAAGCGATCACAACGGTATAGTGTGAGCCCTGCACTGCCAAGCTTTGTTACCCTACAGAAACAAGGAGTAGCGGGAGTCTCTATCTCCACAGTAGTCTTCCTTCTTCTGAGACCCTGTAATGCCTCTGTGCAGCTCCTGACATGAAAGTGTCTGTGTTGCTTCCACAGGATACAGCAGTTTTAGCTACCCAGTACCCACCCTGCTCCTGCTTTCACCCCAGTTCCAGTTCTTACTAGTGTTTGAGCGCCAGGGTTATTACCTGTGGCAGCAGCTTCAGCTGTCCTCCTTCCAACAGGTCATTCATTTTGGTCACCGATTTGTTTCACGAGCACCCACTGTGCCTGAGCACATGTGATTTTTCCAGATCCCGCAACAGTAGGAGAAACAAGAAATGGCAAATCTGCAGCCAGGGCTTAGGCACCAGGTACCCAGAGATTGCCTTGTGCCAAGCGGGAGCATTACTGGTCAAAGC